TGCATGCCGCTGCATTGATCGAATAATGAGTCCTATAGTTGTGGATACACATCACAACAAAATGAATTTGCCTTGGACGCCCATATTTTTCTTACTTCATTCAGTTACAAACACAAACACTTATAGTGTGACCTTTCCGTCGTTGTTTTTCTTTACTACTACGTTCTCTGCACCATTCATTGATTGTTAGCTGCTGCATCCAATTCCTGTTTTCATGGGCGTGTTTTTATATGTGCAGCTTCCCATCTTGTTCTTTCAATTGTCGAAAATCTCTGAGCTATTTTGCAGAACATCTCTTTGTGCTGTAAAAATTATGCTTTCCCGATTTTCTATTGTAGTGTTTACTGCCCTTCTAACAAGGTATTTGTCTTGCTTACAATTTCAATTTATCGCCAAGGAAATTTTGCAGCGTTTTAGAGAACTTTGCATGTCTGACGAGTATCTTCAACCTGGTACACCAGAACTCGACGTCACCTTTGACGGCGGCAAAAAGGTTGCTCTTTTATTTTTATTGGGTTGTTAAAAGTTCACGCCGTTTTTTTCAAACTCATAGGAATAGAATTCGAAATTTTGCTGACACATTCTTTAGAGTGAAGAAGTCTCTCTAGAATATAGGATAACTGTTTACTTGCTGAGCGCACACAAAGATGTTAACTCTTCTTTATTAACGGCCAACGTTTGTCAATCACTTTTGTAGGAGCCTGCAAAGTCGAACATGTGACAGTGAACCATGCATACATTGCTGTTGATTTCTGTTGCACTAGATTAAAAGTGATTGAAGCTTAAAATTTGTAGTATCAAAAAATCCCAACCGGCATTCCATTTTTTTTTGAATGCGATAAGCTCAGCGCCAGAATGCTACAACTATTAAGGCCATTGAACATGTTAAAACATCAGACGGAAACCATACCTATTTTACCCTATAGGACCTTGCTATAGGATTAGGCTAGATAAACTATGGAGAAGTCAAAATCACTAACTTGTCTGAAAAAGAAAGTTTGAGTAATCTATGCTTAACTGTGCGAAATTGCTTGCCCCGTAGAGAATGGACACGATTTTTGCAACCTATATGTCAGTGAACCACGGTAGAGCGGTTTTCAGATGAATCAGCATTCATATCGTAGTACAATAAGGTGCTACCAAAGGACTCATATGATTTTTGTATTCAGCATATCTGACTACCTCAACCCTTCCAGCAAATTCTGAGCTCCTCGTCTGAAAGAAATTAAGCATAGATTGAGTTTTTTTGACCCTACAAATTTTCTTTCAATCCTTTCTTGTTCTTTTGTATGCCGTTACAGGTTGTTAGTGAACCAAATCATTTCAAAGCCAAACGTTAGGCACAACGACTTCCTCAAATTAAAAGTGATTCATTCACCTTTTATCACACGTTCTACCCCACCAGAAACCTCCTTCATGCCATACATTCGAATCGTCCATTATGACCGAAGCTGGCTCAGAATCGACATCAGCTCCGAGTGTTTCACCTTGCTTAGCAAAAACTAATTTCTCACCTTTGCCTTTTCAAGATAATGTCGCGCCATTATGGTCTTCCTTCCTATGCTTTCCGGCTCACAAGACTCTGTCTTCTTCAAGCAGCCTAGCGCCCATTTAC